TGTTTTTTTTTTTTTTTAATAGTATCTTTCTTTTTTTTTTTATTTATTTGCCTGGTATGGAAGTGATGACACTTGACCACACGTGGAGGAAAATAAAGGTTTGGGGGAGGGGGGGGAGGAGAAATAAAAGTCTCTATAAAACCCCACCCCTTACTCAGCTGGTCCCCACAGGGCCTCCGTGTGGGAGTGTGGGTTTTTTTTTTTTAAAACAAATCTCTACAGTGAAGTGCCAAGAGGAAGGTGTGTGGTGTGAACAATAAAGGAGAATGTTTGCAGCGACCCAGCCAGCCGTGTCCTGTGCCTTTATTTCGTGTCCTGTGCCAGTATTTTGTGTCCTGTGCCTTTATTTCATGTCTTGTGCCTTGATTTTGTGTCCTGTGACTTTGTGTCCCATGCCACTATTAGGCATCCTGTGCCTTTATTTCATGTTCTGTATCTTTATTTCATGTCCTGTGCCTTGATTTCTTGTCCTGTGCCTTTATTTCATGTCCTGTGCCTTGATTTCATGTCTTGTGCCTTTGTTTCAAATCTTATGCCTGGATTTTGTGTGCTGTGCCCTTACTTTGTGTCCTGTGCCTTTATTTTATATCCTTTGCCTTTATTTCATATAATGTGCCCTTATTTCGTGTCCTGTGCCAGTATTTTGTGTCCTGACCCTTGATTTCATATCCTGTGCCTTTATTTCACGTCCTGTGCCTTTATTTCGTGTTCTGTGCCTTTATTTCATGTCCTCTGCCTTTATTTCGTATCCTGTGTTTTTATTTCGTGTCCTTGGCCCTTTTTTTTCGTGTCCCGTGCCTTTATTTCAGCAGAGCTGGGCTTTCCCCTGCCCTGCCCGGGATGGTTGTGTGTGTGTATGTGTGTGTGGAGGGGGGGAGGTTTGGGCAGTGCGTGTCCCTGCAAAGCTTTTCCACCTCGGAACGACTCACCTGCTTGCAAAATACCTGCTCTGGGTGTAGGACCGGGTTTTAATTGCCTGGAGCAGCCTGGGCTGGGGTCAGGGCAGGAGCTGGATCCTGCTCTGGGGACCCCAAAGCTGCTCTGAGCCAGGATCGAGCCCTTGGTCGTGTTCACAAGCACCAGGGAGGGAAGGAAGGAAGGAAGGAGAGGGGGAAGGAAGATGTTGCTGCTGCTCCAGGGATTTGGTTTTTTCCCCCTGGAGCTGAGAAGGTGCCAAAAGCTGCAAGCCCGGACACTTTCAGGCAAAATCTTGGTCACTTCAGGCTTTTCTTTCTCGAAGCAGCTCTTTGCCCTGGAGGGCAGCGCTGGGCACGGCTGGGGGAGGAAATCGCTCTCGTCATGTCTTTTAAAGCTGCCCAGGTTTTTGATGTGCCCGGGGCTCCCCTCCTCGCCTGCGCTGTTCCATTCCCGGCTCCAGGAGCTGCTCAGCCCCACAACAACCTTCATTTTCCCCCTTGGTTTTGTGTTGTTGAATCCCCGGACCAGCCACGCTGCCCCCCCAGGCTCAGCCTGGCCACGGAGCTCCCGGGGGGATTATGGCCACAACCGAGCTCCAAATCCCCGCTGACCCAAATCCTCGGTGCCCTGGGGCATTGTGCCAGCAGGCACAGCCCCCCCCTGGCTCCCCCATCCCACAGAAGGCGTCGTTCCAGCCCCCTTTGTGTCCCTCACCCCATGCAGGTGGTTTTTTCCAACCCTCCTGGTGTCCTCCACCCCACGGAGGTGGCTGTTCCAGCCCTTTCCAACATCCCCCACCCCACACAGGTGGTCGTTCCAGCCATGGACAGACCCGATGAGGTGGGAACACCCACCAGTATCCCCCATAGGAGTTCTGGGTGTCTCCCACCTCTTCCCCAGCCCTGTGCCGAGCCCCCTGCCCAGTGTTCTTCCACCCCACAGCCTGGGACGTGGCTGAACCCGCAGCTCCAAGCCCTCTAATTGCTCAGGCCCCAGCTTGACGGAGCGTTTACAAAGCACACTTCACTCCAGCCCAGCAATTAAACACCCTCGTAAATCCTGCCCAGGAAAATGAGCCTTAATCGGGGCTTAGGGCTCAGCCAGGTTCCCTTCACCCCTTTCCCAGCCCCAGGGATCACATGCTCTGGCTGCTCCAGAGCCTTCCCAGGGCCCCACCGGCCCTTCCAAAGCAGGGTCACCCTGAGGGGCCTCTCTGGAGGTTTTGGAATGGTGACATCAGGGGCTTCGTCCCCCTGAGGTTGGTGGCAGAGTAAAGGGAGTCCCAGCTCTCCACATCTCCTTGGGGGGTTGAATCTCCGATTGGAGCCTTTCCATCCTTTCCCTCAGGGCTGCTCAGAGTCTCCCAGGCCCCTGGTGGTGGGTCCTGGATGGAAGTTCTTCCAGAAGAAGAGCAAACTAGAAGGGGAACAAACTCACCCCTCAGTGCCCAGAGCCATGAGAGTCCTCAAAGCTCTGCAGAGAGAGGAAACTGAGAGCCCTGGTCCAGTGGAAGGTGTCCAGGGTGGAACTGGATGAGCTTTAAGGTCCCTTCTACCCCAAACCAGCCTGGGATTCTAGGAAGACTGGTTTGGAGATGGAAGGGGCTCTGCAGAGACCTGCGACACCTCGTCAACCAGGTCCCTAGGAGCAGGGACCCTGTGTCCCTCCCCTATCCCTCCATGGGATCTCCCTCACCAAACTGGAAGGCAAAGCCAGGAAACCAGTAACAAACACACCTGAGCTGCCCTTGGCTCCTGGCCAGCCCAGGTGAGGCCATGAGAGGCTGTTTGCTCATTCACAGCCCAGCCAACAATGATTTATTTATGGTGTGCTGGGGGTGCCTTTG